CAAGTTCTGCTCAAGCTGTGAGTTTTAGAGGGTGTCTAATGTTCTGTCTAAAGGTGAGGATCCTGTTACATTTTTTCTTTAAATTTTATGAGCATCTTATATAATGATGTTCCTGTCATGCTTTTGGCCATGAATCAGCACAGCATTTCTGTGCAAGCTTTAATTGAAGCGTGGAGTTGTCTTGCTGTGCAAATGTTGAAGTCAGTGAGACTATTAATTAAAATTAAGTATCTGCATAAGTGCTTTTGCTAAAAATAAGTTACTTCATAACAGCTTTGGGCCATATTTGGGAAGGAGGGGGGTTGTTTTTTTCGAACTTTGGGAATAGGTATACATTTCTCTCTGAATTGCATGATGATAAAATGTAGCAGCAATACCAGAGGGCAGAATGTTGATGGGAAGAAGTGCAAGCTTTCTGCCTTGTCAGGTGTCACCTAAGCTGCTATTTATTGATTTTTAAACAGAATAAAACTGTTATGGCTTTTGTAGCGCATAGAGACTGGTGGAAAACTTGAGAAGTTACTGCTGAAGCTGGCACTGTAGTGGAAGCACACAAGTGACAGGAATCAATCAGTTCTTTATCTTCCTTTCTGAGTGCCTGGTTACAACTCTGTTTTTCTTCCACCAGTTATTTAAAGTTGGAGCTTCTCAGAGCGAGACTCCTTAGGTACTTGTGCTGTGTGTCATTTGTTTTCTAGCTGTGTTTGAAGCCATTAAAAATATTGCCAGGGACTACTGAGCTGTGGCTTTTCCCATATGTATTAGACAATTTACAATACAGATTTACTGTACAATTTACCTTATAAAATGATCTGATTTATTAATTCTCACGGTACCTTGGCAAAATAACATCTTTTTGTCTCTTCAGTCTGGCTCTTTATCAGACTCACTTTATCATGCCAGCCTCTTACCTTTTTTCTGATTTCTTTCAAAAATAGACTCCTTACAAGCTATAACACTCCTCACCTGCAGCAAACCAATAAATTAATAGTGGAGGGAAGAGATAATTGGAAACATGGGTAAGAGGAATGTGCACCAAGCTGCCTGTGCTGTCATATTTCTCATTGCACCTTTCTGTCCCTTCCAACACCCATCTTAAGATCTCTGCCCTGCCTTTTTGCAGGTGTATGTGGTGTGCATAAAGCAGTGACCACAGGGCTAGGCAGGAGAAGATGAGGGACCCTATTTCACATGATGCCAGCCAGGGTGAAGCCTTGTTTGCCTGAGGTCACACAGAGACCTGGTGCAGGTGTTTTGTGACCACAAGCTGGTTCTTCTGAGGTGCTTCAGCACGATGTGTGTTGGTATCTCCACGCTGTTGGTTTCTCACTGCTGCTGTTCTTAGTCTCTATCATTTAGTCCATGATTGGTAGCAGAAGCTGAGAATCCCACTCCTGGATATACAATGATTCTTGCTGAAAATCACATGGTTGTTCCTAAAAGTGAGACTTTGTATTTCCTATTTAAAGTAATATATTAATATATTGTTGATGGGGTTGCATTTGCTTAGTGTCACTGCCAAAAGTTTCTATAAAGCACTGTCGCATGAACAAAGCAAAATTTACATTGTTTGGGGAAAAGTACCAATGTTGCCATCTTTACTATGAGCACGTCAGTTGCTCTTTATTGCTTTTTAAATTTGATTTTGTTGTTGTGTGGCGTGCTTTTCAATAAACATAGTGGTTTCATTTATATAACACTAGAATTATTGTTAATGCCCAGGTTCATACTGTGAGTTGGGTATGTAATATTGTGTCCAGTGGGATCTTGTATCACAGAATTTGCATAGTTATAGTGCTGGTGACATCGTATCTCATACAAAGAACCCAGGGACCTGATACAATATCAGTAAAACTGTCTCCTAGGTATGATTCAAACAGTTTTATTAGCAACATATGGGGTATGAAGGAGCCACAGAGGGTAGTTTTGAGTGTAAGGGTGCTGGCCTATCTTTTTCAGCCTGTAATTATATCAGTCCTCTTCTATGGCATTATTTGTTGCTGCTCTGGGATTGCAGAAAAAAATAACTACTAATATGATGACACAAAGGATCAGAATAAATTATAATTGTTGACTTTACAAGAAATTCATTGGCAAAAAGGCTTACTGTCCAAAGCTCGGATGTCATTTCTGGTGCAGCTTCAGAGCTAAGCCACTGCACTAAATAATATAGTTTTGGAAGTGTTAGTGTTTTCTGGCAACCTTATCCTGCTGTATTGGATGCTTTTGTGATCTGACAGATACAAGGAAGAAACTTTTTGGCTGCATTTTGGTTTTTAATCTTAAGCTAAAGGAGTGCATTTTGTTTAATTGATAGTGGGATACTGAACTCTTGTTCCCCAAATGGAACATATTCTAATTAATCATCTTGAAATAAAGAGTTCATAATTTAAATTGACATTAAAAACTTGCGAAAATATAATTAGAAAATTACAGTAGTGCTCTGTTTAGTTGTACTTCTTAGAGTCATGAAGTATAAAAAAAATAACTTCTACATGTTGTAAAAATGATAAAAGTTTGGGGGTTTAATGTTTCTGCCAGTTGGCTGAAGAGCCACAGTGTGTATGAAGCTATTAAAGAAAAATAGTATTTGACTACTTCCCAGATAATTTTTTAAAATCCATGTGTTGTAAAGCCCTGGGCCGGGCAACTTCTCTGCACATGAGCCCGTGTAGGGGATTGGGACTGTTATTTGGACTTTAGTCTGTTACTTCTGCATATTTTTATTCCTCATTGGGGTTCAGCGTGGAACAAACAGTCTGGGACCTCTGTGCTGCTTCACTGATGTGAAAGCATTTTTCATCTGCTTGTTTCCAATCCATACTCTGTTGATCTTACTGTGGTTGCAATAATATAATAAATATATAATTTTATCTGGAGGGGATCCTTAGATTTGTTCATCCCTTGTTTGCAGGTAGGATGAAAATTTTTTGACTAATTACTGACTTAATTGCACATTAAAGAAGATAGTAATAAAAAGAATCTAATTTATAATTTAATTTCTAAACTTCTTAGAGTTCAAGCTCTCTGCTGGCACTTCATTGTTTTTGTGAGCTTTTCTGACTTCCAGAAACTTTTGAAGATAATTGCAGGTGATTGAGGAGCTATTTTAACTTGTTCCCATAGTATCCAACAGTAAAAGACATCAGACTTTGCCAGTTTGTATTTGTTTTGAAAAATATCCTCTCATCCTGTATCTGCTTTATCTCTTTGGGTGCTTCAACTGGAAACTCTCACAAATTTGCTGCTGTTGAGACTCTCAAGTTCTTTTGTGAAAACTGAAGTAAAATTGTAATAAGCCTTGTAATTTTGAGAAATAAGTAGAAACATGTAGTGAGACTTGTGATTGAGAAGTGGACAGATGTCAGCTTGTAGGTGCATAAACATCACAAACTTCTGATCTTTAGTGTAGTTGTCCCCTGGCTCCAACACCACCAGCTACAGGGTGAAATGGTCATTTCCAGTGTGCCTCAAAGTCAGCTTGCTCTTTAGACATCATTAAGCATAAACTTGTACTGTTTTAATGCAGTTTTTTTGCCTTTTTAATGTAATTTTGCTTTTTTTTTCATATTTTTTCTCCTTTCCCATATCATTTGCTGTTTGGAGTAGAAAGTTCACACCCACTTTGCTAAAGATGGTAAAGGAGTGATTTCTGAAATTAACTATTAAATAAAAAAAGTTATATAAACATATCTGGACATCACATCGTAGGGACTTCAGAGCTGTCTCAGGAGCCTCTAGAGCCACTCATGTTAATTGTTGCATATCTTGTAAATGTGTTTATTTCAAAGTACTGGAAGCTTTCCAAGAAATTTCTGTATTTAAAAGGGCAAAAAGGATGTCACAGTGGATTTAGTCCAGGACAAAATAAAGTAAAGGTTAAGTTGGACTTCCATCAGTGAAAGCTTAAAAGCTAAAAATAAAAATAATGCTGGCCACTATGGTTTTGTGATAGAAGGATTTGTGAGACAAAACTGATTTTTTTTTTTTTTTTTTTATATAGGCTTGTGTGTCTGGCCTTTATTGCTATATTTAACTAATTTCTTTCGAAGCATTAAATGTTTGCAGTGCAGTATTTTGATACACAAACTTAGGTTGTATGTAGCTGAGACAGAAAAGATTAAAAATGTCCTGTTGCTTAAAGTGTAACTTTTAATGAGATGAGAAAGGCCTACACCTTGTGGTTTCCCAGTGTGTTCATGGCCCACTTAATCAGCAATTTCATTGTGATATAATTATTGCTGCTTTATTTTTCAGATGATGAAAAGAATGCTGGAGAAATACATCTTCAGTTAGTCACATAGTCCAGTCATCAAAATACAGGAGCACTGTAACTGGGCCAGAAAACCAGGGTGGGAAACCCCACTGTGAGAATACAGGGGTGACACCAGGGGAGGCAGAGAGAGCTGGGACAGTTCAGCCTCGAGATGAGTGGGCTCAGGGGCACAAACTGAATTAGAGGAAATTCTGTTACAGTGAGAAATTTTTTGCTGTGAGTGGCCCAACACTGGGACAAGTTACCCTCAGTATCTGTGGAGATACTCAGAGCTGGAGTGGTCCTGGGGACCCTCTTGTTCTCTGATTTTGGCAGAGTTTGGACTGGTTGCTCTCTGGAGGTCCTTGGTTATGGAATCTCCTTTTGTTTGCCTTCCTCTCACGTGTGGTCTGTCTTCACAGATACTAGGCTAAGGAAGGTATTTGGGATAAATATTTATATGGTGTAGTATTGGACAGTATTTGGATGGATCTTTTTCACAAAGTCACAGAATGGTTTGGGTTGGAAGAGACTTTAAAGATCATCATATTCCAACAGCCTGCCATGGGCAGGGACACCTTTCACTAGACCAGGTTGCTCCAAGCCCTATCCAGGGATGGTCTTGAGCACTTCCAGGGGTGGGGAGACTGCAACCCCTCTGGGCAATGTTTAGCCTCGTCTTAGCCTAAAACAGTTGGAAAGTTAGATCAGATGAGCTCAAATTTTCTTTTCTTTTTCCTCACAGCTCTGTTTAGATTGAAGAATGCTACTACACTGAAGAAAATCACACTTTGAAATCTGTCCATTGGACTGAAGCAGATAGGATGGGTTGGAAGAAATACAGCTCACCGCTGAGATCCATGGCCAAGATTCCCAAACTGCTTTGGTGAAGAACTCTGAAGCAGCACCACCTGGTATTTCACTGCTGCCAGCTTTGAATGCAGGTAAAAATGCTTCTGATAAATATGATGTGTTTGTTAGATAAAAAGGGGGGAGAGAGGTTTGATGGGTTTGGAATTCTTGGTGTTATTAGATGTCTGCTAATTATTTTTTTACTCTGCCCTGAAATGATGGCATGGTTCACATTGTTCTTCCAGTACATGGTAAGTCTGACAAGGTTGCAAGTTTTGGGAAGCAAAGGAATCTTTCTTTCAAGACACAATTAGCAACATGTTTGATTTCTTTTTTCTCCTGTTCTCCTTTTCAATCAAAGCCTGGATTCATGTGGTTGCAGCAGAGAGGAGAGATGATCGTGAATCTGTTAACTATTAGGCTGCACCTGTACTTCAAGTGGACTGGCTTCATGTTGCTGTAAAAGAGTGACAGGCCTTAGTGACAGCTGGGACCTACAGCAAAATAGGAAGGGGTAACCAAAAATATTTGGCCATTCAGATATATATTCCTTTACCATCCTGCTGCCTCCCCCCAAAAAATCAACATATGTTCAAACTAATGGTAGTCAGAAGTTGTATTTTATAGTTCTGGTGGGGGAATTAGTTTTCTTCACAGTGAGAATGAATAAATTTGGTTATATTTTTGAGTTAAAATGACACTTCAATGTAACTTCTGTGCCTCTAAAACTGCCCTAAGCCTGTTTAAGGAAACAAAGTGGTGTGATGTAGGGGTGTGTGACTGCCATTCCTTTTCTTCTCCCCTTTCTTTTCCAGTAACTTCAGAATTCATCAGGCAACCTGTATTGAATTTACCAGAAGAGTAGGTGCTACAGGAAATAACAGACTTTCAGCTACTCACATGAAATCTGTGCCAAGGACTCTATATTTTTAAGCTGTGAATTCATTTATGATTAATGTTTTAATTATTTGTTTGTGTCCTAATTTCTGCCACGTTTCAAATTTAATTAAGTTTGAGATAACAGGAGTAAGCAACAAACTCCAGGCCCTTCCTCCTTTCTCAAATTGCTTACAACCACCACAGTGCTTTCTCACTGGGGGATTTTGCCAGAGCTGTGATGCCTCTCAGGCTGCTTCTTGCACAGAAGTACTCTTAGGAACTGGACATAACCATAAAGGAGTGTTGTGTTCTGGTGTGTGTCAGCAGGTGGAAGGGGACACCCCTGTCCTGAGCTGGGCACAAACAGCCTCGTGTGAGGAGAGCAGTGTCTCCGTCTCCCAAGTGAGAAAACTTGATGTGATGAGAGAAAAAAATGCATTTCACACAAGTATTACATACAGTGTAACATTTTTACCATGAATTGTAAAAATTGTATGTTTTGAATTCCTCCTACTGTGCAGCCATCTATGATTTGCATTATGTAGGATAAGGTTTTCAAAACTTTTGAGTCTTTGGACTGCTATTGTCAGAAATGATTCAAACATTCAGGACTCAAGTCACATTGCAACTTCATGAAATTTTCACCTTTTTCACCTTTTCCTTTGAAAATGGAGCTGAAAGTTACTTGGGTATTTTTTTCTAGAATACTTTAATTATGCACAATTTCATCTGGTGTGGAGCACAGGGGAGGCACAGGCAAAGCAATCACAAGCCTGTGGGCAAATGGGTGTTTATAGGGGTGAGTGGAGATCAGATGGACACCACCAGTGCTGCCCTTGGAGGTGACCAACATCCAAGGTGTCTCATTATTCCAGGTGTACTTGGGTAGGTAAACACAACCTGTCCATCTGTGTCTTGTTTCACACTTCAGTGTGCAGTTAAGGGACTCCATAAATGTTACTGATTTCCGCATGCAGGCTCTGGCACCCAAGTGTTCCTGTTAGGTGTAAAAAAAATAGAGGGTTGGTGTCAGCCTACCTAATTTTTCAAAATTATTGGAGGCTTACAAATGGTAAAGTTTAATTCAACACCAGGAAAAGAAGAAATGTTTCCCTGTGAGGGTGGGGAGGCCCCAGCACAGGGTGCCCAGAGAAGCTGTGGCTGCCCCTGGATCCCTGGGAGTGTCCAAGGCCAGGTTGGATGGGGTTTGGTGCAATCTGGGATAGTGGAAGGTGTCCCCTGCTTGTGGCATGGGATTGGAACAAGCTGTTCTTGAAAGTCCCTTTCAATCTAAATCATTCTGATATTCTGCAGTTTTCTACTGCTCTGTAGGTTGTTACTGCTAATTATTTTTTCTGAATTATGAAAACGCAGCACTTTAAAATATCAAGAATGTGTCTTAGTGCAAAGCACAACAATACCCTGAGTTCAAACAGCAGCAGTGAGGAAGGAGCACATTGAGTCGTGTGGTTACTACTGTGAATGTACCTCAGAGACTAAAACTAGAACCCTTTCTCACACTTTCCCCATGCAGAAGAAAGGGCAAGTGCAGACCTTGAACATGGTCTGTACTCATATCTGTTTATACATAGGCTGATAGGTTTTCTTTCCTGACAACTTAAATTTGAATATTATCTACTGGAAATTTCACAGGATTCTGGTAAACAGGTAAGAATTATTTTTAGGTGTTTTCCAGTGTGACACTCATTAACTCACTGTTTCAGCTTACTTGGTGACACTATCTTCATTTTTTTTTTTTGTGTTAATGAGACAATGTTGGTGTACTTACTCAGATGTTTACTGAGAAACAACAGCTGGATGGGTGCTAGCAAAACCTGAAACCTGCCAGTTCAGCTGGGCCAATGTGCTTGAGAGGACCCTGGTGTAGTCAGAATACATCTTGCAGAAGTAAATCTTAAAGTGACAATTTTCTGTCTTGCATCTTTTACTGTTGAGGTTTGGTTTTTTTAAATTTTTTCATAAATGTGTTCTTAGAGCAGAGCAATTCAAAGCATGTCTTATGGGTATGCTTACAAACAATTTGAATATATTGCTTAGCATGGGCTCAAAGATATAGAAATTTGTATTTTTATTTATATACATCACTTCAGGCATATTTAACTTCTGGCTTACTTTGTAGCAGAATAGGAATGTGGATCTGTAGGGAGCAATATTCTCACTGAGGTAGCAAGTAGAAGTCTTGATCCTGGCTCACCTGTAGCATCCAAGTTGTGGAATAAACCCTGGATTTAGAGTCTGGTAGTTTTGAAGCACTGAAGGAGCTTTCTAGGCTGACTGGTTCATCTCGGGTTAGAATGGAAACTAAAACCCCTCCCTGCATGTAGAGGGGGAAGCTTAAAGAGGAAATAATGACTTAAAATATGCTTTCATCTGCTGTACTGAAAGAAGATAAAGGTGGGTTGGTTTTTTTTAAACTTTTTAATCAGACAAGCTGTGTTTTGTCATGTAGTTTTTTGGCAATTTAATTACAGCCTTAAAAATGCATAAGTGACTGTAAAAGTCCTGAAAGCATTTGACAAAACCTAATTGTGTATTATGTGGTCAGCAAAAACTTACTGGTTGGAGTTGCATGTTTTTAGTCTGTGGGGCTATTGGCAGCTGAAAGAGTTGTGTATTTCTGTATCCTTTGTGAAGCTGTAATGAAAATGAAGTTATCATTGTGAAGCTTCCAGTTTTGACAGTGAGAATGGCCCTTCGATCTCCGAAGGCTGCTGGATTCTCCATATAAGTTGAAACCATAAACATTTTATGGCACAAGATGAGTTGCTGGGATTCAAACATAAATTTTAGAAAGAAAAAGGAAAAAAAAAAAGAGTGAATGCCTGCATCCGTGAATGTATTGAATTGCTGCAGTAAAGAAGAGCCATATGGTATTTTGGTAACTTCTGGGCATTGGGAAATTACAGATTACAGGTCAATTGGACCTGCAGACATTCTGTGGTAGGAATGACTTTATTTTAGTAAAAGTGCTTTTTGTTCAGCTTGTAATGTCCAGATTGCTGAAGAATTTTATCAGATTAAGTATTTCTATGTATTAGTCATTGTGGAAGGACACTGGAGTCCAAGACTATGGGCCAAAACCCAGTCTGTAGCTTTCTTTTTTGCCTAGAAGAGCATGCAGGGAAAAGAATATTTCCTGTTCATTCTTTGAAAATGAAAACAAAAGAGATTGACATCCTTTCACTCTTGCAGTCAAGTGTCACTCATCCTGAAGTTGTAATAATCAATTCAGGATGGATACTTACACTTCTTTACAAAATCGGATGAAAGAGTTTTGCAGATAAGTTAAAGACCACAGGAAAAAAATAAGCTCATAACTTCATAACTTTAAACTGAATTAGTTGTTTCTTTGAATTGCTTGTTTTTAGTCATGTTGCCATAGGTATCAAAGCAGAGAGCTATTACCATTCCTTTGTAAGGATTGCTGCTGTTTTATATTCACGTTGCAGCAGATCAAAGGATGGGTCTGCAGACACGGAAGGGAAGGTGTGCTGTTTCAAAGATATGCAAACACACCTAGAGCGAGTTGGTCCAGGTATTGCAGATGCACTAACAGGGATTTGCAGATGGCAGCAGCATTGTTTCATTCCTGAAAATCTTTATCTTAGTTGCTAAAGCTTTTTTCTGAATTTTTTAAATCTCTGCCAGCTAAAACTCACTCATATGTTGCTGCTCCCTACACTTAGTTTTGTCTTGCTGTTTGGAAGGACCTGGTTTGTTAACTGCCACTGAGTGTTAATGGTACATCCTCCTCTTACTGATCTGTGTTCAGCTCTGCTTCACCCAAAATGATGTCTCCATCTGAAATGATTTGCAAAAAACTATAGAAACTATTGCCCAGAGAAGCTGTAGCTACCCCAATCCTGGGAGTGTCCAAGGCCAGGCTGGATGGAGCTCTGGGCAGCCTGGGATTGTTGTACCAAATCCAGGGTGTTTGGGAATGATTATTGTTTTTACACTTGCATTTTTTGTACTGTTTTTATTTAGTGTCATTTTACTAAATAACAGTTTAGTTTAATCCTAACTTGAAAGACCTTCTTTAAAAGCTGCATGCAGTGACTGATTTTCTTTTGAAGACTTGAATCTATTTACAGAATCTCACTACTGTTTTTAACTAACTTTGCAATGTTTTCTTTCAACCTTGAAAATTCATTAGCTGTAGCACCACGTGTAAAATGTCTTCAGTCTTTGA